GCGCCCAATGAGGTGCGGAGTACCCCAGGGGTCCGTATTAGGACCACTACTGTGGAACCTGGGGTACGATTGGGTGCTGAGGGGCGCGCTGCTCCCCCGGACGGCGGTCATCGCGTACGCTGATGACACGCTGGTGGCCGTCCGGAGGACCACCTTCCAGGAGGAGGCCCGAAGAGCCTCAGTAGCGGCGGACATGGTGGTCCGCCGAATACAACTGCTGGGGCTCGAGGTCGCCGTGCCGAAGACGGATATGGCCGTCTTCGGCGGGAGGGGTAGAGGTTTAGTGGGCGCCGCATCGGCGTTGGGCAGGCTCCTGCCCAACCTCGGGAGGCCGGGAGCCCCATGCAGAAGGCTATACGCCGGGGTGACTCGGAGTATGGCCTTATACGGGGCTCCTATTTGGAGTGGGGCCATATCAGCGGCGACGAAGGCGCTGCTGAGAAGGCCCCAGAGGCTGGTCGCCCTGCGAATGTGCAGGGCGTACAGGACGGTGGCCTGCGCTGCCGCATGCGTCCTCGCCAGTACTCCGCCGTGGGACCTCGAAGCCGAGGTCCTGGCGGAGGTCCGCACCTACCGGCGGGGAATGAGGGACCGAGGCGAGCGACCCGCTCCCCAAGAGGTGGAGCGGGAGCGCCGCCTCGCGGCGCAGCGCATGCGGGACCGGTGGAAAGAGGGCTTGGCGGATCCCCCCTATGGCGCTCGTACCATAGAGGCGATCCGCCCTGTCCTCGTAGAGTGGGTAAACCGGTCCCACGGGCCACTGTCGTACCACCTTGTGCAGGTGCTGACCGGGCACGGCTGCTTCGGTCACTACCTGCACAAGGTGGCGAGGAGGGAACCGTCCCCGTCGTGCCACGAGTGCGGCGCTGCAGATGACACCCCGCAGCACACCCTAGAGGTGTGTAGCCGGTGGGATGAGCAGCGCCGCACTCTGACGGGGACTGTAGGGCAGGACCTCTCGCTGCCGAGTGTGGTTGCCGCCATGCTCGATAGCGAGGAGTCCTGGGAGGCGGTGGCCTCCTTTTGCGCAGAGGTTATGTCGCAAAAGGAGGCCGCGGAGCGGGTGCGCGAGGACGCGGCAGACGCGCACCCGCTCCGGCGCAGACGTACGGGGAGAAGGCGAAGGCAGTTCGCTGCTCGCCTGATCCCCTAGTGAGACCAGCGGGCTCTGGACAGGGACTCCGGAGTCTGCATTGCACGGCCTCACTCGTCTGGGGGGCGGGTCGGAGGACAACCGACTCGCCCCTCCGTTGGCGCGGGAGCCCTGGCGTAAGCTAGGGCGGCCGGGCGGCGTCGTGGTGAATGTTCACTGATCCCACGGCGCCGACTCAACCGGCGAGAGGGAAACCCGGGGGGGTTTTAGTGGGGTAGGCCCTCCAGCCTGGAGGGAGAGTCCCCACATAACCCCTGAGTCTCCCTGGGCTCAGGGGTATCCATAAAGATTTCCCCCCGACAAAAAAAAAAAAAAAAAAAAATGGGAGACACATCGGTCCCCCGACTCCGAATGTGAGGCTCGCCGAACACCAGACGAGCCTTCTATCCCGGGCCCCTTTATGCTGGGCAACGAACTCCCCCGAGGTCCGCTGCCCAGGGGCCATGGGGGGCCAGGACAGCATCCACTCAACTGTGAAGTTCAGTGGCTGCTCCCCCAGCCCCCGCGGCGGATCTGATGGCAGGCTCCGCCGCAACACCTAACGCGCTTCCGCGCGGACTCTCCGAAGAGAGTCCCTTGGAGCGCCCACCACGGGCCAACCGCCCACGTTCGGCCGCGGAGGATAGGACGAGCGGCAACGACACACCGACACGTCTCTTCCCCCGCGGCCCCGCGGCCCCGCCGCCACTGCATCATTGAAAGCGGTGCAGCCCCGCCAGGGTCGTGGAGGACAGGACGAGCGGTAACGACACACCGACACGTCTCTCCCCCCGCGACCCTCCTCCTCGCGCATCCGCGCGGTCCCGCTGACCAATCGAGTCCCGCGCGGAACGCCCTCCTCCTCGGGCCAGTCTACCACCATCGGCCAGCCCCGTGGGTTCCTCTTAGCTTCACCGTGGAAGGAAATCGACCACGACAAGGCGGGAACCCCTTCGGGGGGCCCCTTTGTATCACCTAGATTAACTTGCACTACTAACCTTAATGAAAGTTATGTACACATAGAACAATTTCACTGTTTGCGATAGTCTGGGGCATATCGACAGTGGAAATTTTAAATGTCGCAACGGTTATTTTGGCAAATTGTCACTTTTTTGTGACAATTTGACAAAATAATAATTGTGACATTTTAAAATTCATTAGGTACATCTACAAATTTCCACCGTCGATATAAGTAAATAAAAGGTTACTTAACGAGATTCATCTACTTATCGAGTGCTTAGGTTTTCGCGATTGTTACACATAGAGAATAGAAACTGTTTTTCAAACAAAACAACTGTTCGAAAAAACAAATATACGCGATTTAAATCCGAAAAATGAGAATGTTACACGATAACTCATTCTCTCAACTCATCAACGGCATTTGTGAATCGATTTATGATGGTTCTTTTTTTTTAAATTTTAAGAAAATATTCCACATCTATGGGTGGCAAAGTATGAATAAATATGAATGACTTTTGAGGTCGGTTTTTTTTTGGTAGTTTGGACTGAGATTATAATAAAATCATTTATTTCAGGCTATAGCCCATAAGATAATGGTGTTAGTAAAGTAAAGGTGTTACTAAAGAAACCCTTAAAACATTTTCATAAAATTGCAATGGTTTTCGAAATAAATATTGATAAGTAATTAAAATATTAAACTACAAAAATTAGGAAAATGCACAAATCACTACTTAACTTGACCAGAACTGATCTGAGCAAAACTTTAAAATTATACAGTCAAAACTTATTGTTCTGAGGTCAAAACCCTGTCAGTGCTCGTACTCACTTCAGCTGGATAAACAACCTAATCGTCCTTGTTTCCACAGATTTCTTGTCGTGTAAATTGTAAACACTTTTGTGGGAGAATTATTAGATTTAAGAAATTTTCGAGAAGTTAGCTTCGTTATGAAAGGAAAGTTGGCGAAAATAATCTTGGCTCAATGTCACATGATTCTCGCTGTTAGTCAGAACCAATATTCATGTAGTAGCAGTGGAGCTTCTTGTAAAAGAGTTTGTCCAGGGAAGTACCTTACCTATTGCTGTCGCCAAGCAATAATTAAACATTACTGCATTCCGGTTTGGTAGGGTAAGTATGTCCCGTCATTTGGTATTATATAATCTCAGTACAGAGTACTAAAAAACCGACCACAAAAGTCATTCATCTCCTAGTTTGCCACCCTTAAAGGAGGAATATTTTTCTTCAAATGGGACCACCTTTGAGGTACCCTCTTTCCAACAAAAAGAATCATTAAAATCGTTTTACAAATTTTAGCCGGAGTTATCGCGCAACATACGTGCAAAAAAAAACTTCCAGTGGAATTGAGAACCTCCACCTTTTTTAAAGCATATTTAGAGATACTTCTGCAGGTAATTTTTTCATGATTTTACACATTTCTATCTAAATTATACTTGATTATGAATATAAAGATCGAACTCACAGAAAAACTTCGTCGACCTGCGTCCTGATTTTGATTCAAATTGGAATCGACCCTATCGGGTCGTCTCGAAATCAGATGGGTTTCTGAGCGACATGAACCTGATTCCAACTATATCTTTCTAATTTGTGAGCTAAATCATCTATTGTTCCGATTAGAAATGTCAAAAGTTTCCCATCGGCCAGTTGTGAATCGCAATTATGTGCCTCAACTCGGAAAAAACACAGTTTCCGATCGGGAGAGGCAATAAAAATCAAGCTGCTGGTAGGACTTGAACCCACGTCCATGCTGCACTGTAGCATTGCTCTAACCGTTTTAGCCACGGGTGTAGTTACCGAGTCGTCAAAATTCTCCTACATTCTTTTGTTATAGAACTCTGTGCTGAATTATCGGCGTTCGTCGTCGCTAGTGACATCTAGTGAGAGATTTTTGAATAACCTCACCACAGCCGATACCTTTACAGGCATTACAACTAGCGCAGATGTCGATCAAATGTATTTATTGAGACTTTTTGTGAAATAACTTTGTTTTGTTATAATTATAATAATAATTAAAGTAATGCTTCGGTGCAGCATGAACGTGGATTCAAGTCCCACCGGGTCAACGAAGTTTATCTGTGTGTTCGATCTTTACATTCATAATCCCACGGAAGAAATGTGATCTGTGATCATAACAAAACTAGTGAAGTTATTTTACATAAAAACTCAATAAACAAATTATACTTATTGTTATTAAAAGTATTCTTTGGGTATTAAATCGCGTATATTTGTTTTTTGAATAAACCAACGCTCCGAGTTTTTTACAGGTACCATGATTACCTTTGAGGTGTTTGAGGCACAACCAAGGAATGATTGATATTATGACTTTATTATAAAATATGTTAATAAAATACCTAGATATCGTATTTTTTACCATACCAAATAT